TGCCAATGAAGTCCAGTGAACTGGGTGTCATGGATTCCAACCAGAAAGTTCCTTTATGTCCACCTTTTCCTTTACCATTGGATTTGCCACGTTGAGGGCAATTGCGAAAGCCGTGGCCATGGTCGCATCAAGTGAAGCATCAAGTACCGGTAGTCGTCGAACTGCTGTTGGTGCCTTGGGCCACGAACAAAGGTCTCGTGGAGTCTCGTGGAGGTAGAAGAGCTGGATGTCAAACTTGAGGATGTAGATTTGCCCGTCTTGGATTTTCCTTTGCCTTTGCCCTTCTTGCCCTTCATCATGTTCAGGGGGTAGAAGCCACGTGATGCACCTTTGGCTCGCTGAAACTGTCTGCTCTGTTGAAAGGTGCGGGCTTTGGATTCGTAGTTCATGAAGGCCTCCTCCAGCTCCTTGTACTCCTCGGGGTTGAGGTGGCTCCAATTGTCTAATTGTCTTCGGATGCCCAATAGGTGCCGAAGCCATCGGTTTCCATCCAAAGTCCTTGGTCCCAGACATAGTCATGCCAACCATCAGATTCCCAGCTCCAGTTGACTTCATCATCGTCTTGAAGACTGTCACCACCACTGCTGGGAGAAGGACCAGGATCATATACATCAGGAGGTAGTTTGGCGCCTACCCAGTGGACCTCGTTGTTGTCCTCATAGCCATCTTCGACCGGTGAGGCAAGCAATCCCCACTGGCCATCTTCTTCGACCCAATAGGTCCGGCGTCGTCCATGAGGATGTCCACGTTGAAGGTCGGCTTGAAGAAGTTCCTCTTCTTGATCTCGGAGTGCCAGCTCGATGTCGGAGAACTTCAGGCTGTTGTTGACAGAAGCCTGAACAGAGAGTCGACTGCTGGAACTGAGGTTGGCCCGTCTCAAGAGTAGCCAACCCAACACTTCATCAGGGAGGACGGAGATCTCTTCAACCTGCAACTCATCCCAGGGAAGATCTTCTCCAGAGCTGGATTCGTCATCCCACTGGCGCTGCTGGGTCTTGCGCCATTCTTTCCATTCAGCTTCAGACCATCCTTGTCCTCGCCAATCTGCTTCTTCATCAGGATCATCTTGAGGAACAGGTTCATAGTCCCCAGGCGGTGCACCAGTCTCTTGACCAGCTGCGGTAGGGCTCGTCGAGGGTCGCTGTGTCGGACTTGTCGGCGATCGGTGTGTCGGACTCGTCGAGGGCCTCAAAGGTGTTCGGGTTGGAGAGTCCGGCTGACTTGGAGGTTCATGTTGAGGTTCAGAGACACTGCGTCCATCGCTTTCCTTGGGCTTTGAGGGTTTCTGTTGACGGGCGCGGATGAGAGCTCGCTGAACCTTGCGGTAGGACTCCAAGAGCTCGTTCGCCCACTGACTCATGGTCATGCCCAAGGGACGGCGCAACCTGATGAGCAAGTCCTCAAGCCGTGCACCGGCGTCTGGAATTGCCGTTCTGCAGAGACGGTCTTGAAGATATCGAAGTAGATACTTCGTGCCGTTGCGCTTCCCCAACTTCTTGTGGTCCAAGGAGGGCGTCACCGCCCAGGCTCGATCGGTGAGCCTGGACGCCAAGTCTGGTCCAAGAAGTCGTCGTTTGTGCTTGGGAGTCATCTCCCATTGAAGTCTCACTTTGCGAGCGTAGTCTCCCCAGGTGGAGGGCTCGCCATTCCATGAAGCCACATCCTTGGAGGTCTTAGATCCCGACATCGCCACAGCCCAAGCCAGGCCACCCAAGAGGAGCCAGAAGGGAGTGAGGACCAAGTAGTACGAGCGTAGTCGTGGTCGAAGCCACCAATCTCGGAGTGCAGAGCGTCGGGCTCGAGGTCGTTGTGGTCAGCTATCCAAGCTGGAGCCAGGCCCAAATCGTCCTGGCTCCGCTACCAATGTCAGGGTAGCAGAAGGGTTCGCCCTCTTGAACAAAGCTTGGTACACTTCTCGCGCGTGTCACCTTGCGCAGGTCGGCCAGCGCTTTTCTTCTATGGCTCGAATCGGACGGTTTTCGTCCAGGTGCTCAAAAGCCAGGTATGGCCAAAGGGGTCCCTTGAGGTCACAGGATCGCGGTGCGGCGGTTGCTTTGGAAGTGTTCAGCTGACATGTCTGAACCTGAAAAACTCACATAAACGGACTTTCTGAAACTTTATGATTTGTTTTTTTGACTTTGACTTTTGAGACTGACTATGACTGACTACTAATTAAATTGATTTGCTTTAATACTTGTTTTAGTTTTGAAAGCAGGCTCTCCAAAAACATATTTTAAACACTAGCTTGCTGTTGGGATCTTGAAATCTTCCACATTCTATGGCCAACCATGCGAAACACGACTTCCAAGGTCCAGCCTTTCCACAACCATTCAGGAGATCCTTCAACCTGCCCGGGCTTCACATCAGTCACAGCACATCACTGTGAAGCGGAACCCCAAACGAAGTGGAAACGGCCCAGTCCCCGGTGCAACATCAGAGGCAACATGCACCTGTGGTAGTGAACATTGGCTGGTAGGCTTTTGATATCCTCAGCGCACGATGACAAAAGGCTCACGGTGCTTTGCTGAGATGAAATGATTACGTAGCACTGTAGCGGTCTGCTTCCTGAGGCAAAAAGGGGCCCAGGCTATGACACAACCTCTGACCATCTCCTGGCACGGACTAGACAGCACTTCCAGATTCCAGCTTGACCGGAATGACTTACAGCTCACGGAACCGATCAAGCCTGGCTTATATAACTCGATGTCCTACTTGCAGTTTTCAAACACCCCGAGTCACAGGGCAGAGTGACGTAGGGCTCAAATGCCCTCGGCTCTGGTGGAGGCTTCTCTTCGCGACTTCGCTTCTGCCCCTTTTGTGTCTTCTCATCCTAAGAGACAGGCCGGGAAGACTTAAAGAAGGCGAGGAACACTCTCGTACAGTATTTACATATACTTACTGGTTCCTGCACCTTAAATATCCACGATAAGCTCTTGAAACGTCATGTCTGCCTTTAGCGACATGATCCACGCAGGGATTTCGGGAATTCGTGTGCTTGTGAAGTGTGTCCCACACCGTGCATCCATCTCAGCTCTTCTCAAGTGTTGTCGTAGCATCTATCTACCCATCTATCTATCTATAATTATCTATATACACCATCGCCTATCACCTACAAGTAGTGCAGTTTCTCCAGGTCTTGTGCCTCTAGTTGTTGAGTAACATGCTTCAATAGGATTTGTGGTGGCACCCACTGTTGGGCCTCGCCACACTGTTACACAGCTGGGGAAGCATATCTCTGACATTGGCATCGCCACCTCACTGAATTTGTTTTGGGTGCCCTTGCATTGCTCATAATCCAGCTTGCTTGTGGAGAATATACAAGGTTTTCTTGTGCTGTTGGCCGGGGTCTTCACGCTTCATGACTCTGTGGATGTCACTGACGCGCTCTTATCTCGTGATCCGCTTTCGGCTAGGTGCCGTGGAGGGCAATGGCCCGAAAAGGACTGAGCAAAAGCAAAAGAGACTCTTGGTCTACCCGGCTACCCAATAACAAGGACATGAAAGAGCTTGTAATTCTCCGATGAAGCGGAGGCACCTAGGGTAGCTCGCCATAGTCCACCTGACCCTTTCACCACCAAGATGCCATGGAGGCTGGCGGCGGGATGGCCACCAGGCCAGGGAGTGCGGCAGATCGCTCAGCTGTCGAGCTGCCATTGGGGTAGATCACTGCCATACCTTCGCAGCGCTTTGCAGCAAAGCTTTGCAGTTGGGGTGTTTCAGGACCTGGGAGGGGCGGATGCCTTTTTCAGCTGTGCTCTTTTTACCGTGTTGTTGGGTTGAGGCGGAGTACAAGCTGTGGTCCTGCGAAGTGGCTTTCAAAGGCACATGGAAAAAAAACAAGTCCGACCGGCCCTGTAGCATATATGAGTGACCACAGGCCCGGGATGCAACATCTCGCAACCACCCCCCAACCTCCAGGCACACAAGCCTGCATTATACCACTCTCTTGAACACTTTATTTATAGTGCTTCCTTTTCGCGAGCATCTCCACGCCCAACGCCAACTGCGGATCTCAAAAAACGAATCAGTTGAAGTCTCTGACGGTGGGATTGCAACTCGACACCGTATAGGAACTTGGCCAATTTCCCAAACAAACCGCAGGAATCATCGCAATCTTCGGACTTCCAAGGATTCCAAGTGGCTCTTCGCAGCGCTGACGCCCTCTTGCGACCTCAAGCAGTATCAAGTGAATCAAGGAGCCCAAAAGTTTGATGGAGACTTCTTGCCTTTGCCTTTGGATGAGATCCGGGAATTCCCAACAACCATGGATGTGATCGCCATTGGTCTTGGAACATGCGTTTCTCTTCGAGTTAGTGTTGGACGGGAATGTCGATAGCTTGGGGTCGACAAGAAGTGTTGGAGGCGCAGCCACAGCCTTTGCACCCCACCGAGCAAGCACAGATTGTCCCTATTATGTAGCCCAACAAGATGGAGTCACCCTCACTGAAATGCATTTTGGAACGGTAGAGGCCAACATGCAAGAACACAATTATGTATTTTACTTTTGTCTGTCTATCCTATCCCGAGCTTATCCTCGGTTGTGTTGCTGCCTCACAATGAAACCACCTCGGAACCACTTCGTTTCAACTGTCTTCCGCCGCAAGTCACCATTGTCTAGTTTGCCTTGCCTTCAGTACCACAGCTCCGCCAAAAACTGCGCCCTGCCAAGGATTTGCAGCCCAGAGGCCCATCAGCAGCCACACTGATGAAGCATTTGTTCTTGAACTTGTCCTAAAATGGAGAGATCCAACCGTTGGGGCGAAGGCCGGCAAATGGGGAGTTGTGCGGAACACACGTCGAATGAATGTGCAAAATCACCAACATCGCCCATCGCGGTCAACCGCCCCATGGCACTGCAAAGGCTGCAGGAAACGACCTCATCTTCAAGGAAAGTTGGACTGAGTCCTACAAAACCCACGCGACAAATATAAATTACAAAAAGGATCAAGAAGGTTCCCATCTTATCTGCACACTGCCTAGGGCCTAGTCCAGTCAGAAAGCACAAAAAGATGCGAGAGGAAAACTTTTATAACTGGACGTCTGCCATTGGACTTGAAATGGAAGAAGGCAACGGCATATGTTCAACAACCATTTTCCCCAGAGTTTTGCTTCCCTGAAAGGACGCTCCAACTCATTCTTTTGCGGTAGCGATTTCCAAGGGGGAGCGCTGCACATGGTGAGTTGTTCCTTTTATAATCTACCGGGCACTCATTCCTATGATTTTCACGGTCAAGGCTCGTAGGTGCCGTATCTGAAATGTGAGATCGGCTTGGTCATCTTCTCTACGGCCTGGGCACATTGCGGCACATGGACATGTTGTTTCTCCAGCACGGTGAACCTGATAAAGACAACGACATCAATGAACATGATGGGAATAGCTAAATCTATACTGGCACACTTGGAAGGAAGGGTAGAATCATGTCCACGTCACACTAAGACTTTCCGATCCCAAATTGGCCCACGTTCAGAACATGGCTTGCGTAGTAGTTTTGCGTCAGAAAGCGTCCTTCCTGGCCCGAAATGAGCGACGTTTCTTTTTCCTCACAAAGTCGTGCGAGGGTCTCACCCGTGGTCAGATCCATTTTGTATTCTAAGCCTGGAGGACATGCGAATCCCTTAGGGACCGGCTGCCACTCCTCGGTTGCTGAGAAGATTTTGGGCCCTTCAAGCAACAGGATCCCTTTGAGAGCCTGAGCTGGATGGCTGGCAAAATGCTTCATAAAGTCCACCCTGTACATGGCATCGTCCTCCAAGGTGTTTTCTCCACTGCCGACTTCTGAGACAAATGTGGGTCACAGCACACAAACCATCCAAAACCCCTACGTTGAACATCCTCTCTTCCAAAGGGATGTCTTTTTCAGGGAGCCAAATCCAGAACATTACAATGTTACGGTGGTTTCAGGGTGGTTTATATGGACCGACGTCCACGAGACCTCTTGGCGACAGCGCCATCTACTCAGCCTGCCACCCGACCCAACCGCCCAACTGGTCCTCGGCGAGCCGACACCACCAAGCCTCAGCGGAGCCCAAACGGCCTTGGCCCTCATAGTCGGCCTGAATCTCCTTGGTTGGACCATGAAAGAAGCTCTTCAAAACCCATCTTCAGATGTTTTTGGAAAGGATCCAATGCTTGGCAGGATTTGGCAGGAGGTATGTGGCACGCATTTGTAGATGTATCTGACAGCCCCAACAATAATCCCCGCTTCATTGAGTGGCACCACCTGAGCCCCCAAGACAAAAAGTGCTAATGCGATGAAACCCAGAGAGATATGGATGGTGGATGAAGATGCAGTGAGAGTAGCAAGAAAATGGTGAAGGATGGAATGGAAGGGGATTGAAGAAACCTGGATGCCGGGGTGGACATGCTTCTCTCGGTAGTGCGAAAGAGCAAGGGGTTGTGAAGAACAAAAGGTCTGCCCTCACTGCTCCAGGATGGTGACTGGGTGGGGGACACCGATGAGACCGTCTCAAAGCCGATCGAACGCATCTACGAATGCAGGGGCTCCCGAGCCAGGCAGCTTTACGACGTGCTAAGTGCTATATACAGCTGCTATGTATGTTAAATATATATATATACGGTATAATATAATAGTTATAAAACAAGTGAGAATATATATATATATATTGTGGATAATTATTCTTTATATACTCTTTATATGCATATTACAACAAAAATGTATAGAACATTGCAGTCCCTCGGCAAATACCGAAGTGCGTGGTCATCCGCCAAATTTCCTGGTCACCCTGCCAAACACGCGGCAAATGCATGGAGTAGTCTCCAAGTCTCCACAAGCTCATGACCCGAGACGCTCAAGAGCGAGCGCACCGCGCCCGACTTCTTCAACGCCATCCTGAGACTGGCGACAACCGACCTTCACGGCAATCCGATGGCTTTTTTGCTCAGGACAAACAAGCAATCACTTATCGGTTAAACAGCAAAAAAGGATCAAAAACAAATGGAGAAACACGCATTAGTTTTTTAAAACAAGGGGAACAAGTTCGTTCGGACAGGAATCTTGATTATCAAGCTCGCCCTACTCATGGGCCACGAGAAAAACTGATTCCAGCTTGCATGTTGCCGATTGTTGCCGTTTCCTGAGGGCGATCACGATTACTGCTGTAGTCAGATTCTGCCCGTGACTAAGTCGGTAAAGCAGCCTGCAAGGGGTTCAAGAACTGCGATGAACGGAGCTGCGTCTACTTTCGTGCAGCATTTGTGGTCGCATGGCATTTGTGGACCAATCTGCACCTTGAAAGATTGCCCGCCGCACGAAAGATTGTTTTCGATAGGTTAACATGTTAGACCTTCCGACCGAAACAAAGCAAC